CACACACACACACATCCCCAGTCTGGGCCCCCAGGGAGTGGTGGCGACAGTGGCCCTGTGCCCCCTCAGAGGCAGCCACTGCCAGCAGGCAGGGGTAGGATTCCTGCAGAGCCACACGCCATGTGCCCAGCCCTAGCCCAGCGCCAGTTGGAGCCCAAGCCATGCCCAGCACCACTGCCACTCTCCTCCGCGTATCTCCTGGGCTACCTCCAGGACCTGCACAGCTGCCAGTCCTGACAGGAGCCCAGGTGGCACAAGAAGGAAAGCAGCCCATGGCAGCACTGGTCATGGCTTGGGCTCTGGCAGCAGTGAACTGCGGCTGGGCATGGGGTGCATGCTTAGAGGGCTGCAGGAGGTGGCTCTGTGGGAATCCTGCCTCCACCCGCTGGCAGCAGCTGCCTCTCTGGGGCCACCATTGCCAGCGCTTCCTGGGGGCCTGGACCTGGGATGCACGGGGACCCACAGGCCTAGAGGTGGCTCATGCCAGAGCTCCCAAGTGGTCCCAACTTGCCCCAAGCTTGAGCCATGGAGCCTGAGGGTGCCCCACAGCGGCAGCTCTGTGCAGGTTCTAGTGGGACGTGGGCTCCAGGTGGCTGCAGTAGGAAGGCAGGGGGGACACCCAACCACCCCCATCCAGGGCCCCAAGCAGCAGGGCTGGCAGTACCAGGGGTTCAGGGAAGGCAACGCTGGGCCGCAGCAGAATTGCCTGGTATCTTCAGTCCCAGGGCGAATCAGGACTGCCTAAGACCCACTGAGCAAGTAAGCAGGGCAATTTGGGCTGGTGCCAGGGCTGGAGTAACTGCCCCCAGCCTGGGCTGCCTGCAGCTGCTGCTCCTCAGACAAGAGTAGGGTGAGCCCCTTGCTGCTGGAGCTGTGCTTGGGCAGGGGCACACCCTGAGTCGGGCAGCTCTGCGGAGACCCCACTCAGATTGGGCATCCTGCCAAGGTATTCAGGGATTCCCCCTTCATGGGCTCCATGCCCCCCTGCAGGCATCCCCTCTCCCCAGGCTCCAAACCTCTCTCACATACCCACAGCCCCCACACCTTCACATATCCCTCCCCTATGCACACTCGCCCCACACCCACCCCCACCCATACAAAGTACCTGCATAATTTTGCATTATTTTGAGTTTTTCTGCACATAACTTTGAGTTTTTAGCTGTGCAATTAATCATGATTAATTGCAACTAATTTTTTTAATTGTGTAATTAATCACAATCAAATTTTTTAATCGTTTGACAACCCTAACAGAATATATAACTTACAAGTTTCAAAGCGTTTTTTTTATATATGCTGTTGTCAAAAAAGAACTTGTCTGTAGATGGTTAACTTTGAAATGCTCTCTGGCTAGTTGGCATGCACCTATTGTTTTTTTTTTTTTAGAATGCTCAAAATAGTCTTTACTATCGTATAACGCTCCTGTGCAGCACCTTAACTGTACCTAATGCAGAGGGGGAGAGTGCCTCTTGAATGTGATAAATGCCTTTGCCTTGGAGTATATCTGTTCTGCAGTCAAAAGTATGATTTGCACCTCATGTAGATCTGTACCTGCTGACTTAAATTTAGCTAAATAGATGCCGATAAGAGTGAAAATGCAGCAGCATTAATTTTAGCATTGATTGTACTGAGTCGCTGGGTTCATATTTAGGTAGCTGACATGCACTGCAGCCTGTGTTGCCATGCTCTCACTATTGTGGATACCCATGCTAGCTAGCTAAATTTAAAATTAGCATGTGTACACCTACCAGTGCTGCAGTCACACCTTGCCTGCAGTGGAGATGGACCGTCATCTAGATGTGATTGGTAGCATCTGACAAAGGAAGGTGGTGTCTGCAAAAGTGAATGCCTCTGAACCAGTTAGTTTCTAAGGTGCCAAATGTGCCTTTGGATCCAGTGAAAATCATGAATGTATGCACAGTCTCCTGGGGGTTAAAAACCCTGTCCTTTCAGCTCTTGCTCATGAGAGAGGCTTGCATTTTTTTAGAAGAGATTTTCTGATGTTAATGGTAGCAGGTCTCTCTCTCTGGGACAGCCCTAGGCAGTGATTCAGTGACAGAAGTACACACAAGCCCATGAACTCACAAGGCCAGTGCATTACACTGGATGCTTATAGTCCAGATGGTACACATTTTTCTTGAAGAGAATGCTGCATTTTGAGCAAAGCTTACAGTAGCTATCTTTGAATATATAGGATGTTAACATCCTCTTTATCACAAAGTTAACACAATCGTAAGTTGAGCACGTGCAAATGTGCAGAGATGTCTGTTGCCAAAATAATTATTGTAGGGAACTCTTCCACACTTTTAAATGTGTTCAGAATTTACATTTGGGTTTATTTCTGCCATGCTAGTTAAATGTCGATTTAACATAGTAAACACTGTGTGGTTGTGGGAACAGAATTGAAATTTCATCTGAACTCATTCATGGCAGGAAGGAGTTTCTTGCCAATGCAGGCCAAACTGAATGTCTGCTGCTAAGGGGGCTAAGGAATGGTCTCTTACAACGAATCTCTAAATATTCTTCCTCTTTTTTTTCCCTTGTAGGAAAAAGTATGCATCCATGAAAGGCCCAGTAAAGTCTTTATCTCCCTGTCCTTCTGTAAGAACAATTTGTGCAGGCATGGATGAGTACAGCCGCTTTGTGGATTGGGACAAGATGGATGCCAGCATCCAGAACCAGGACCCAAAGGAGTTAACTTGCACAGAGTTCCAGGAACTGAAACATCTGGCCCGACAGGGCTACTGGGCCAAGAACCACTCTTTGCGAGCCAAAGTATACCACAGACTCATTAGTGACATTCCATGCCGCACAGTGACACCAGATGCAAATGTGTACCGTGACATTGTTGTGAAGATAGTTGGCAAACGTAATAGTGGCACCCTCCCACTGCCAGAGTTTGTGGATAATAGCCTGGTTCCCACTTATTGCTTGAATGCTGAGGGCATTGTGGCTGTCAGGAAGATAATTTCCTGCCTTGCTAATCAATTCCCTGACATATCATTCTGCCCAGCACTGCCTTCTGTAGTTGCTCTGCTCCTCCACTACAGCCAGGATGAGGCAGAGTGTTTTGAGAAGGTGTGTCGCATCCTTGCTTGCAATGATCCCTCCAAGCGCCTCATTGATCAGACTTTCCTGGCTTTCGAGTCCTCCTGTATGACCTTTGGTGACTTGGTTAACAAGTATTGTCAGGCAGCACACAAGCTGATGGTAGCAGTATCTGAGGATGTGCTAGAAGTATACTCTGACTGGCAACGGTGGCTCTTTGGAGAACTGCCAATGGTATATATTGCTCGGGTCTTCGATGTATTTCTGGTGGAGGGTTACAAGGTGCTCTACCGGGTTGCACTGGCCCTTCTCAAATTCTTTCATAAAGTAAGAGCTGGGCAACCTATGGAGTCAGACAATATACAACAGGACATTCGCACTTTTGTGAGGGACATTGCCAAGTCAGTGTCTCCTGAGAAGCTCCTGGAAAAAGCCTTTGCCATACGACTTTTTTCCAGGAAGGAAATCCAGCTTCTACAGATGGCCAATGAGAAGGCCTTGCAGCAGAAAGGCATCACAGTCAAACAGAAGAGGTAAGGCCTCTAGATACTATATTTACTCTAGCTTGGAGTTACCGTTAGAGTTACTATTAGTCTTACCCACTGGCCTCCATGGAAGTGGTGTTGGTGAGCTTTTCTATCTCTGAGGGAGCAGCCATAGTTGGTTAAGAGGGTGAAAGGGTCTAGTAACACATCATAGTATTTTCACTCTATCAGATTATTATTCTGAATAACCTGGCTGCTGTACTAAGCCAATGATTCTCAGCTAGGGTGCCACCAGATCCTTGGAAGTGTGCTTTGAGGTAAGGAGATAAGCACAGGTTCAGGCTTGTCCTAACCTGGCAGATCCCCCACCTGAACTACATGGCCCCTCTGCAAGGAGGTAGATACTGTAGTGAAAGCCACCCAGTTGTGATAAATTATACAGTTCACTAATTATGGAGGGGTGCCTCAAGTCTGAAGAGGTTGAGACCCACTTAAACATTACTGAAATTGTAACAGGAAAAATATTCTAAATATCAGAGCTATGGAAGTAAATCAGTATATCACCATTTGCTTAAACAGCGGTGAATTTCCAACTATTTAGTACAGCTAGATGTTAAATTACTCCTGTGATGTAAAACTTGTATTGTTCCTGGCTTTAAGCTGGAAGACATCTTAGTGAAGTAGAAGCAGAAATTGGAAAATAGAGCTATATGGGGAGGGGTAGCACCTAAGCAAGTGTGAAAACGAATCTTTGCACTGGTGACTTCATTTTTATATTAAACAACAAATGCGTTATGTTTGCAGTTTTCAGTATTGGACAACACTATGTTGCAATGGAGGCAAACACTTAACATAGCATTAATATGCTCAGAGCAGAGCCCCCAGTACGTTCATAGTAGATACAATAAAGAACTCCTAGGACTGGCGTTCCAGCTCTACCTATGGTAGCAATATCAGTAGTTGATGTATGTATCTCGCATCAAACAAGGTAGGATATCAGAGGAAATAAGTGGTGTATTAAATACAAGTATATTTAGATAAACAAATACAGGAATTCTGCAGTCACAGCAGCACTCCCAAGGTCAGTTCTGTAAGTGAAGCAAATCTCTTTCAAATGCTGTCTTTTGGAATTTAAACCTCTGAGGACTTCAAGGACTTGACTATCCCTTCTGGCCTTCACATGCTTGCAAATTCAGGAGTATATTATTTGGAAGCAGGAGACCCAAAGATGATCTTCCATTCCTTTTCTCTAAATATGAAGGATCAGGAGGTATCCATAACTAATGTACTTGTGTCTCTTTAAAGCCAGTTATGCAAAACACTGAGCTACAGTAAAAGTAGGCCTGAAAAACCTATATTTGCAGTTACTGAAACAAGTACTGAGTCATATCTTGTCCTATAAAATAACATCAGCCTGGCGTGCTGCTCTTATCCACAACTGCTCATCTCTAAAGCGGTTGTTCCTTCTTAGCTGCTTATTCCTGGAATCTCATATCATGTTTATACCCTGCCTGCATTGTGCCCTGCAGGCCTTGATATGTTGATGTTTCTTGTTCTATCAGACCACTGTAAAAAGTCAGTACCTGCCTTTGGCAGACAATCTAAGTATCCCTTTCAAGGTCTCTGTCCACTGGGAGTATTAGTCAGAAACTGCAGGCATGACAGTTGCAGTGGTAACAGTAGCCTCCAGACCATTGCTTTCAGTGCACAGAACCGGAAGTGCTGACTTACTTGACAGTGTGGATATATAACTTGCTTTCTTCTAAACAGAAGCCCAGAAGAGGTAAAATGTCCTCTGGGTATGCTTTTCAGCAGGAGAGCTGAGTGTAAAAGAGTAAAGAAAATAGGGGCTGCTACTGGTTCAGAAGTGTCTTGTAGGGAGCGCTCGTGTGCAGAATAACAATAGGGCTGCTTTAGAGTCACTCAAACTGGAGTATATTTATCACCATCTTAAAGGACCTGGCAGAATTGCCGACTAATAAAGAGCTTTTTTCCTTTATGTGCTACTTGCTGAATCACACTAGAGTGATCTCCCTTGGAGTTCCACTATGAAAGTAGATTTGATCCACAACTTTTATGCAGGCAAAGGCAAGTGCCACAAAAGTGTGCTCCCTCAGTGTTTGACAGTCTAGGCCCTCTTATTCAGTCCTGTTTGGCCTGCATGAGAAGGCAAGTGGGTCACAAAATGCATAGATCTATCAGATAACAAGAAAGAAATAGAATTGAGCATAGGAAGAGAAAACTGATGCCAAACAAGAAATGTTAACCTGTCTTTTTCTTTTTCTCTTTTTTTTTTTTTTTTTTCTTAGTGGTTGTTTGATTCAAACCTCACTGTGTGTGTTTCTCTCCAGGCTCCTTTCCTTCGCTTTGTTGGGGATGTAGGAAATCACTGATCTCTTTTCCTGTCTTTTTTTTGTCTTTCTCCTCATATGTTCTCCTTCTGTCAATTCCATAACCACTGCACCCCTCCTGTCTGCAGTGTTACAGCTCCTAAAAGGTAGGTTTAAAAGCCTTGAATTTTTGGGCTTTGCTTACTACTTCCATCTTTGCTTGGCTGAGTCTTTAAAGGCTGTCCTCCCTGCTAGTGCTGGGGCAATTCTGCCAGTACTGATTGCAACATAACTAGTTCCTTTGTCCTCGCAAAGTTAGTACAGAGCACCTGTAAAGTTGCTAAAATGAGGATTCATGGGATTGGCCTCCTGAAATACCATATTTGCAGTGTCACACAGGTTTCTTAAACTTCATTCTTGAATTAAGGAAATGTTAGTGTCTGGGCTGGAACTGCAAATGTTGTTGGTTGGATTTTTAGCCGCCTTTACACTGGGAGGAAAAAAGATACCATGGTAGAAAATATCTCAGACATGTTCATAGTTCTTTCTGTGTACTTTACCAGCCACATCTGAGTCTTGGCTGGTAACGGGACTTCCTGGGCATCAGTACAATACACATAATTAGCATGTTCATACCAGGGTAAAGTCAAGTTTATCACTGTGTAAGATAAAACGTGGGCAGCCATGCTTAAAGGATTAACCACAACTACATAATATCTAACTGGGAGAACATTTTTAAACATGACTTAATGATATTAATATCAGGCATTAAGTCATCTCCAAAATGTTTAAATAGAAATATTGGTCCAAAAAAATTAATATTCTGTCTTTCTCTCCATGTGGCTGTCATAGCTTCTTAGCCACTGGTTAATGAAGTCAGTCACTGAGGCTTTCTTGGCCTGAGAAGCACGAGAGTGGATGGTTTTTCCTGAGGTACAAAGATACTAGGGAAGAAAAGAAATATCATCTTGTAAGCACTTAGAACCTTTCAGAGCCACAAATGTGTATAATACTAACTTGCAGTGTCTTCCAAAGGCTCCCATGGTTACCTCTACAGGTGTCCTGAGCTAACTTCAGAAAGTGGAAAAGACAGATAGATGGACTGATGCAGTGGTGTCCAACCTTTTTGTCCAGCAGGCCGAATTGGCAGTGCCCAACCCGTCCACGGGTCAGCTGGTGCTCCCAATGTGGCACAGGCATGGCAGCCACCATCTGGTTGCATGGGGGAGGGCAAGCCAGCCCCAGCCCCAATACAGTTCTGCAGTGCAAAAGAACGTGCCCTGGCCCTGAGGAAAGGGAGAGGTGTGGCCCAATCCCAATCGAGAAGGAGGCAGGGGAAGTGGCCTGGCCCCACTAGGGGAGAGTACATCACTTGGTTCCAACTGGCTGTGCAGGGAATGGGGTTTGGGGATTTGGTGAAGGGAGGGTGGCCATATTAATGGCCACTGCTCCCCCACTGCCAAATTTCTGGACCTGTGAGGAGCCCAACGGGCCAGGTGTGATGGTCCACAGGCAGGAGGCTGAGCACCCCTGGACTAATATATAAAATCAAAATCAGAATTAATTTCCTCATACCTTAAATGAAACCACTACTTAAAGAACCCCATGAAAACTCAGATGTTATACAGAGTATTGGGGCTGGAACATCCAGCAACCAGTCAGGTCCTTATTCTAGTGAGTCAGATTTCGTAGGAAGAATATATGTTTTGATGTGCACCAGATGCAAGTCTTCCAGAAGCAAAACAAAGCCTTTATCCTGCCCTGAATTGCACAAGTTGACTTAAGGCATCTTCTCCACCCTTCTGTCTCACGCAGTCAGGGTTTGAGTTCCTGGTGTATAAGGCCATGTGTGATTTTTGAGGCACAGGATCTCATTGCTGCTTACCCTCTGTCCAGGTACTGAAAGAGTTTAAAATGTCATGAGTTTAATAATTTGCAAAAATCCTAGGACTACCAACCCAAAACAAGAAATGGAGAAAGCGATCTAATTTCACTTCATGTTGGAACATCCCTTCCATTAATTGCCTTGGAATACATATAAAGTATGTCTGTGCTGGTTGCTGATGATGATATATTAAATTTAAGTTAGCCAGATCTCCTTCTCAGTCCCTTGAATCTCTAAGTGAGCACAAATCCCCAATATAATAGAAAAAAATTGTAAAGTGTAAATATTTATTTAATTTGCTACATACATGATACAGTAGGGAGGGTTCATTTCCTTCCAGAGAAGACAGTGTGAATGAGGTTTGTTTTGTTTTTTATTTTTAATATGCACTAGACTGAAATTTTCAATAGTGGAAATTCCAGTAAATTTCTCTGAAGTATGGAGAGGGGTAGACCTTAATGAAGAATGAAAATCTTCAACCATGAAATGGACACAGCTCATCCAGTGCCGATTTCAACCAGCAGCCATTAAAATTGCATGGATAATCCATGTTCCATGGATTTTTTTTCCAAACTACTGAGTTTTTCCACATAGAATTGGAAGGGGTCTCCTGCACCATTAGGTCCAGTCCCTTGTGTTCTTAGGCAGCAACCATTTACCTAGGGGTTCCTAAAAAAATGTCTAGATGACAATTAGTGGTTCCTATTAATGAAATACCATGCAGTTCAGAATTAGCCGTATAGAATTAATTTTCAGCAAGGAATATCAGAGCCATCTGTGCTGCCTGCCCAAGTTGTTAATTTTGCTTTTACTTTGAAAAGCACCTGCCCTATCCGAGTAAAGAATAAAAACAACTCTTTTCAATACCGAAACACAAACATAACTCTTCTAGTATTCTATCCAGTCATTTCCAATTAGCAGTCTTTTATCTGAACAGATTCTAATTCATCTTTGCTGGTCCAAGTTATTCAGTGACTTATTAATTAAATGGAAATCTGATAAAGGTAACTGCCGAGTGTCCAAGTATTCCAAGATTTGAATGCTTTTTTTTTCCCTTTAGAATGTGACTTCTACATGAGGGAGAGGTTGGGTGATTGCAGAATGCATATAAGCATTAAACTTTAGGATGATTGCTAAGAGTAAGAATTCTATAAGAATGCTAGTGACACACAAGGTCACACTGGAGTATGGATAGACAGGAGTCATTTATCCAGAGCAGTTCAGGATAACCAGGCAAAGGAATAAAGGAGATAGAAGTATGCACTTTAATATTCACAATCCTTGAGGAAATAGAGAAACTGAGCTCTACATGCCCGTCAATGCTTAGTAGAGGTTTTGTAGATATCTTTCTACATAATGCCCTAATGATGATTCTTATTAACTTTAGGTTTATTTACCATTTTCCACCCAGATTCTACCATGGCAAACTAATTGACAGCCTTGTAAGATTTCCCTAAATGTGACATGTTTTATGAAGTTTCAAGATACTCTGAGCAATAATCTTTCCCATGAACGGATAAAAAGCAATTACCCAGTTTTCTTGCATGGTGCTACTGTTTTAAGTGAGTGACAAGGTGGAATAGGAAAGATATTTTAGTGGGCAGGAACTAGACTGAAATTCCAGAGACCTGGATTTAGTTTCTAGCTCCAGCACAGATTTTTCTCTGTAACCTTGAACAAGCCAATCTTCCCTGTTCCTCAGCTTCCAATCTGTAAAATAGGGCTACTTTCCTAATTCACAGAGGCCTAGCTAGGATAAAATTTGTTAATGATTGCATTCGTTAATGAGGCTGTCCAGACAAGCATCTTGGTAACTGAGTATCTAGGCTGTAATGCATTTAGCCCATACACAATCATATGAGAAAGTTAGTGAGTTGTAAATCTTGACCTGTCCCTAAAACAAAACAGCCTTCCCATTAGGAGTTCTGACCCCAGGCAGCTTAAAGGTGCTCTACTCACTGTTGGAAAATTTGCCAACTGTAGACAGATCCTGATCTCTTCTAGCACACAGCGCTTTGAGGAATGATGCAAGTGCATGGCTGAATATTTGGGACTCTCAAGCGGGGATCTTCATAAAGTGATGTGGCAACGCTTGCTGTATGGAGAGCTCCTAACTATGCTAATATATCTAGTGCATTATTTGTGAGGGGTCTCTCTGCATGCTGTGAGGGGAAAAAAAAGAACTGAAAATGAGTGAAATTAAAATACCATAAGGCCTAGCAAATGTCTGGAACCACTCTGCCCCCAACACCTTTATGGCATGCAGAGTAGATTCTCCAAAGCTTTGCCCAGCTAATTGCTGTCTAGTAGTTTAACACTTGATTTAAGCCATTGTGTATTTTTAACTTGACATACTAAGTTGTGGCACTTGTACTTATAACTGGCTTTTCACTAGGAACATGGATGCAATAACACTTATTTTCCACCCATCATGGGATTGGGTGGATTGTTTTATGTATCCCAGGTTAATAAAATTGTTTTGAATTGATTAATTCAAGTGTTTCTAGTCCAAGAGCACAAAAATAATGAGTTACCCTTCCTCCTATGAGTTACCCCTTCCTATTATATTGGTTTTCAACAACAACGACAAAAGTGGAAGTCTTATTTGCCCTCTGGTTCATGAGCATTTTGTATGTGCTGAGTTGATATATTCAAGCTTTTTCTGCAGCAATAGAGCCTATAAATGTGTATTTAAAATGAAAGCAGAAGTTCTTAGTATTTGCATGACTCCAGGAACTGGAACTTTTGGAAAATGGCAGGTAGCAGGAGACTCTGGATAAAATTGCAAGACTTGTAATCACTGTAAGTATAATGTGGTTGGGACACTTACAGGAATTCTCTAATTCCATAAATACAAGCAGTGCTTAAGAAAGAAGCATTAGTCAGCATATCAGACTGGACTTGTTCTGTTCGCCCCATTTGGGTACATCTCTCCTTTATTCATTTTTTTGTGTTTTAATGCTAGAGCATCAGTGTGGGGCCATTTTAAAATGGCAGATACAACTTTTGGGCTGTCACATTTTAACTAACTCATTCCCACTTCCTTGTTGCTTATCCTCTGCACATGCAGTGCCAGACCCTGATAACATGGTGGGGTTCTTTCTAGCAAAACCAAACCCTTAACTGACAAGGTTTCTACCAACTTTGGGTAGTGCACCCCTCCAGCAAACCATGAGCTGGAGTTCTGGGGAACAGAGCATGTGCCACATAGAAGTACCAGGCAGGTTTTGTTCTCATGTTCTGCTGTCTCCCTTGTGTGGGGCTTGCCCAGTAACTCTAACCCCTCAACTTGTTCACAGGCAAAATGTTCACTTGGCAGTTCATGCCGAGAACTTCAAGTCTGAAATAGTCAGTGTGAAAGAAATGAGAGATATCTGGTCATGGATCCCAGAGCGCTTTGCACTTTGTCAGCCCCTTTTGCTTTTCACCACTTTGGAGCATGGTTGCAGCCTGAACAGGTAACTTCATCTTTCCCTGAATCTGTTTCTGTTGTACAAGTAAAAACAAACAACCACAAATGCTAATTGAATGCAGAAATCTTCCCGAAAGCAAAAAAAAGTGCAGCTACAATGTATTATGGGAGTGAGAAATTGCATATGCCAAGGAAGTTGCCCAGCTGTTACCAAAAGGTAGCTTTCCAAATTGTCGTGTAAGGTTGTCTCCACACTATGAAAGTGTGCTAGTTCCTCTACCATCATTTAAATTGTTAGTCAAAGGAATTACAGCTGTATTTGTTACATCATGTCGAGTTTTGATAGGATTTTTTTAATTGCTGTTTTTTGCTTATTTGATTATGCAAGCAGCCTTTGCAAAATTGTTGGAGTGTCAAAGAAGCTGAGGTTTCTTTCATCAGTAAATTTCCTGTAAGTTGGTGACCTGAAAAAAGTGGAGAAGTTAGTTAACGGTGTAGTTCTACCCCTTCCTCTCATGTGAACAGGTGCCAAAATGAATTCCTGCAAACTTTGCATAGTAGGGCAACCATTAATGGGAAGAAGGTTGAGGTCTGTCTGAAGAGTAAACTGAGGATCGACTTCTGAATAGTTTCATAGTTAGTAGGGTCAGAAGAGACCTGAACAGATCATCAAGTCCGACCCCCTGCCATGGCAGGAAAGAGTACTGGGGTCAAACAACCCCAGCAAGGTGATTGTCTAGCCTTGTCTTAAAGACCTCCAGGCTAGGAGCCAGCACCACTTCGCTTGGAAGTTGGTTCCAGATCCTAGCCGCCCTGACAGTGAAGTAGCGCCTCCTGATGTCTAATCTGAATTTACCCTCTGCCAGCTTGTGACCGTTATTTCTAGTCACTCTTGGTAGTGCTTGGGGGAACAGGGACTCCCCCAACGCCTGCTGGCCCCCTCTGACTAGTTTGTAATAGGCCACTAGATCCCCCCTCAGCCTTCTCTTGTGGAGGCTGAACAGGTTCAGGTCCCGTAGCCTCTCCTCGTAGGGCCTGCCCGGCTGCGCGCTGATCATGCAAGTGGCCCTCCTCTGGACCCTCTCCATGTTGTCCACATCCCTCTTGAAGTGCGGCGCCCAGAACTGGATGCAGTACTCCAGCTGCGGCCTGACCAGTGCCACATAGAGGGGGAGGATCACCTCCTTAGATAGCTTTGGTAGCAGTCTGCCAGTTCCTTTGAAGCAACGCTCATCCTGGGTCTCTGAAAGCTTCACCTTTCACACAATACCAACAAATGGATTGACTACTTTTTTAAAGGAGGAAGACAAAGGGTAATCTGAAAAGGGTATTTTAAGAGACAGGGTGAGACTGTCAGGAATTTGCTAGCAGTAAGAGGTTAGTGTCAGAAGGAAACTGTTGTGGATTTTAAAATCCAAATGTGTAGTTTCAAAACTAGTTGCAGCATAAAAAAGTTTTCACAGTGGCTTCCTGTTTAGTTCCCTTTACTCTTAAAAGTGTGTTAAAATGCTACAGGTTAGAACTGGTCAACATTTTCAGTTGGTCAAAATATGCTACAATTTAGCTATGTCCCCAAGGCAAAAAAATCTTTTACAATAATAACATCAAGTAAAAGGAGCAGAGCCAAGGATAACCACATTGTTTGCAAGAGTGACAAATATGACATAAGAATGGGAGCTATGAAGTGCATTCTTATCACTGAGAGAAACAAATAGTGGGTCCAGTGCGGAGGATGAACTGTACTAGCAAGACTTGCCCTTCAGTGTTCTTCAGCATTTCCTGGAGCAGTTCATCATCAGGCAGAGTGTTATGACCAGGGATCCTGGCTTTTTCTGATTTAAAAATTGCAAATTCTCTGATTAAAAACCCAAAATCCGTGATAAAAATTAAAGGCCCCCCACAGCCTCTCCCAGTGCTGCTGTTGCCCCACACTCCCCCCCACAGTCTCAACAGCCCTCCTGACATTCCTCGCAACAGCCCCCCAGACCCACAGACACTGACACCTACCCCAGCAGGTAAGTGTGTGTGGGGGGAAGGGGCGGGGCAGAGTGGGGGAAAGAGAAGGTGCTGGGGGAGTAAATCAAGAAGGGGGCAGTGTGTCCCTGTGCCCACTCCCAGGAGCAGGGCTGGGGGGCGAGGGCAGGGGTGCTACTCTGTGGACCACACGTGCCGGCCGGCCAGCTGGCCTGACAAGAGGTTCGCACACAGAGGCCGCCACCGCAACTCTGCCATTGCGCCCTGCACTACCATTCCACAGCCACCTGAATGGCTTTGTGGGCAGGTGGCGCAGGGTGCAGCAGGAGCAGTGTGGTGGCAGCCACTGTGTGCAGGCCACATATGTGCCACCCAGCCCGGGGGTGAAACGGAGGGGCTTGCATTCAGCGGCATGCCCCACAACCAGCTGCATAGCTCTGCGGTGGCATCTGCGTGCAGGGTAGGGGGGCTTTGCGGGCAAGCACTGCCACCACAAAACCATGCCCTTTGCCCCTAGATCCTAGAGGTAAGTGGGGCTTGAGGGCTGTGGGACAGGGCTGGGGAAGGTGGTTGAGAGCTGAGGGAGCAGGGGGGTGCTGCTGGCCCCATGCAGCACATCAGCTGGGAGCAGGGCCAGGGAGTAAGGGTAGGGGTGCCCCTCTGTGGGAGGCTTTGCTGGCAAGCGATGCGGGATGCAGTGTAGTGATGCCCGCCATGTGCGGGCTGCACACATGCCGCCTGGCCATCTGCCTGGGGAAGGGGGAGAGGGAGGCTGGCATGTGGCCGGAGCACAGCTCTGTGGCTGGCTCTGCAGCCGCAGCAGGGGGTGAGCGTGCGGGGGGGCTTGGGCTTGCACACGGCGCTGCCGCTTACCTGGAGGCCCATTATGGTGGTGACAGCCGCTGCCTCCAAAACCTCCTGCTGCCACCACGGAACCGTGCCTGGAGCTGTGCGGCCAGCGGCAGCGATGCACTGCTGGGTGGTGGTGGGGATGGCTGCGTGCCACCCGGCCACCACCATGTTGCTGCCTGGCAGCCAGCTGCACAGCTCTGAGCATGGCTGCACGGCGGCAGTGGGAGGTTTTGGAGGCAGTGGCCATCACTGCCATAACGGGCCTCCAGGTAAGCGGCAGTGCCGCATGCAAGTCCAAGCCACCCCGCACCCCTATCCCTCGCCACAGCTGCAGAGCCCTCACCACGGCAGCCTGGCTTCTCCCTGCCCTCCAGCCCTGTCCCATTCCCCATCCCTCCCCACTGAGGAACAGGTCGGGCAGAGGGGGTGGACTCACATGGCTTCCCGCCCCCACGACCTGCCCCCCCCCC